TAAATGTAATAATTCTTTAATATATTACTTGTGTGGTGTAGAAGAGAATTATTTATGTAGATTTACTGCTTGCAAACCAATGATGGTAAGATGATGTCCTGGGGTAGGACTGGATAAGTCTGACTTCTTCCTACTCCATTCAAGCATGTACTAGGTATAAGCAAATTGATATTGGATTATGTGTACAATCATGTGTGTTGTCATATCAACTGTCTTTACATGCTTGAAGGAATAAATCAAACCAAATCAAATCAAATCAAATCAAACAGTCCCGGTCAGAAACACAAAATACCAAAACCGAAGAAAATGCTGGAAAGTCAGAGCTGGGGTCTAGAACAATCTATTTAGGCAGCGTCCTCCCACCAGGACGCTGCCTAAATAGAGGTGCAAACAATAACGAAACAGGTGAAACCAATGTGAGTGATGAAGAACGCAAACAGACCGAAACTAAGGTGAAACAAAAACAGGAAGTAACGTCAAAATAAAAGCCGCACGGGAAGCAGTGGAACCGAATCATGACAATGTCAGGAGATTCATTTGGACGTGTGCCCTGCACTCAGCACTACAAAGACAAACAGGTCCTGTAACCCACAACATCCAGCCCACCATCATACTCACATCAGCTGACAAAGAAATGTCTTTTACTTCTAAAATGTCAATATATAGTTGGCATTTTGGTTGTTTACAACATTTACACTTTGTGCACTGAACATTTCTTATCAGAGGTGATGCACACAAAACACAGATCACATGTAGTACAACCCATACTCACAGCATCACAATGTACCTACCAGTGCAGTTTAAATGAACAATAACAAAGTCTACCAGAAATTCTGTTCCAAAATTAAAGAGTGACATAGGAGAATTTCTAGGCTTACCAGCCAGGTTTTACACAGGTGCTGGCTTTCAGAAGTGGCTTCTCTTAATAGTGTATTCTATAATAGCTACTAACACTATTCACTAAACCCTTCTGCCAAACACCATAGCTTTGCCTCCAAGACTAAAATTAGTATATTATGACAACTATAATGTTATAAAACAGGGCATATTCGAAAAAGCCTCACTTGAGATTTTCTGAATAGATATAGTATAATTTTGAAATCATACTTCTAGACTTAT